GCTCCCTGCTCTGAGCAGAGAAGCTTGGACTGTTCATGCTCTGTGCTCTGTTGGGGCTGGGAGCTGGATGAAGAGGAAATCACAGTGGTACAGAGAGGTGGGAGAGATTCTCCATGATTTTCTTCCCTGCCTCATTGAAGCTTCTCACAGACACTCTTTGTCTGTCCCTTGCTGAGGTGGGATGAGCTCAGGAGGTGGAAGAACATGGAACAAAGGGAAATAAGGTGCTCAAGGCTGCCAGATGAGTCTAACCCTGAGTGTGAGCAGCACCCAGCTCTCCAGGCTGAGCTTCTTGCCTGCCCATCTCCCCACCTGGCCAGCTGGTTGAGCTGACCCCAGGTAGCTCTGATCCCTGGGAACAGCTGTGGGAGACTGGGACATTGCTGTCCCCAACCTTCTTGGTGGGCTCAGAGCAGCAGCCAGACCCCAGCAGGCTTTCTGTGGTGGCACGGGGCACATTGTCACCCCAGCCAGCAGCAGCAGCTGAAAAGGCTGGATGACAAATTATCCATCTGGCTGCTCATTGTGTAGCACATCCCTGCCATCCTGATTTAGTATTCAACAGGCAGATGAATAATTGGTTGCCACCAGTAGGATGAAGTGATCCTTCACTCTGCCCAAGCACTATTAATTTCACACTCTGTCTGCAAAGGTATAATATTTTCCTTAAAGCATGTGACACAGGGTGGGTGGGTGTGGAGCAGGCTCCTGAGGGGCACGGCTGCAGGTGCCTTGATCCCTACATGGGATCAGGGGTCCCCCAAAGGATGGACGAGCAGGGCAAAGGGAATGACACGCAGCTGCCTCTGTTTTCTTTTTATTGTCACCAGTATTTGGTTTCTGAGTTCTCTGCTCTGTTAGGTGGGCAGTTTGCACTAGGCTGGGATCACTGGGAGTGTGTCCTCATCCCTGGTGTGCTGGCAGGAGTGTGGCTGTGTCAGGACTCCTGCTGGACCTGTCCAGCCCCAGCTCCCCCCTGCAGCTGGGGACACTGGGGAGCTTTGCTAACTGGGCAGCTGTGGGTTTGTGCCACGCTGGCTCTGTGCCCTCCTCCCCAGAGGGTGCCTGTGGGCATCTGCCCACACAGCCCTTCCAGAGTGATTGGAGGGGTTGAAATCTTGATTCAGTAAACAGCAGAGGTTTCCTACTGGTTTCCTTCCTCGTTCCTACCCACCACGAGAAATAGAACAAGGAGTAATGGGCTCAGACAGGAAGAGGGGACATTCAGGTTAGGTATAGGTTGGAGTCAATGATCTCTCTTGAACCTGATCGATTCTGTAATTCTGTGATTTATGGAAGAAATCCTTCCCTCTGATGGAGTGAGGGTGCCCAGAGAAGCTGTGGGTGCCCCTGGAAGTGTCCAAGGCCAGGTTGGACAGGGCTGGGAGCAGCCTGGGACAGTGGAAAGTGTCCCTGATCGTGGCAGGGGTGGGACAGGATGAGCTTTGAGGTGTCTTCCAACCAAACCATTCCAACCATTCTAAATACAAGAACTTGTCCCCTGGTTCTCTCTGCCCTGGTTCTGCCCCTGGGCTGGTGACAGCTCTGCCTGGGCTGAGCAGGGCTTGGGGACACATCAGGCAGGGAGCTCCTTAAGCAGCCCTGACAGCAGCTCTGGGATCTGTCTGCTGCCTGAACACGCACCCGGAACCGTTCACACTGCCCGGGCTGCCAAGGCTGCATCGATCCCAACACTGTCCCTGTCATTTCCACCTAACAGGGCAGGGCTGGCAACGTTGCTGCTGCCACTTGGAGGGACACAGCTCTGGAAACAGCTCAGGGCCAGCTGAGGCTGTTCCAGGAAAGGATGAGGGTGATCTGCCCTGGGGGAGATGTCAGACTCCCCTCAGTGCCCAAACTGCCACCGTGCTGGTTTAGCTCTTGTCCCCTGCTCTGCCTGGCTGCAGCTGTCACCAAGCATCAGATGGCAGGAGGGCACAGGAGGAGGAGGAGGGGCTGCCCAGGCATGGTGCACACTCTCCACCCTGTGAAACTGCAGGGTAATGAGCAGCAGGTTTAATGGAGTGAAAGGACAAGGGTCTGGTGGCCCTTTCTCTCATGGCCCTCCCTCTGATCCAGCCCTGTCTGATCTCAATCTTTCTCTCAAGCAGGAGAGAAGAGGCTGAAGGAGCTGCAGAGGGAGGGAGCAGATATCCCACCTGGCACCATCGAGGAGTGGCTGGACAAGAGAGCCCAGAGGCTGAGTGCAGCTCAGAGCAGCAGGTACTGGGTGCTGGGGTATCCAGGTGTGGATGCAAGGGGATCCCCAGGAGGGCTGGGGCAGGGGAGGGTGCAGGGCATCAGAGCTCCCAGCACCCCCAGGCAGCACTCATGGGGGGCCTGTGTTGGGTGCAGCCCTGCCTGCCCCCCAGGGGTGTGTGCACAGGGGACACTTTGGGAACAGGCACAGCAGAGAGCTGCCCTTGCTCTGTGCAGGGCTCACAGACACACCTGGAAGGACAGAGCTGCTGCTGTGCTGGCTCATTAATGCCCAGGGTTCAGTGTCAGGAGCCTGCTTTCATCTGTTGACAGCTCCCCCATGCCCTGCCTGCCAGGGAGGGTGGAATTGGCTCCTCTTCACAGGATCCATTCAGAGTGGGGCACTGGCTGTTTCCTTGCTCACCTGACTGTGCCGCAGGCTTAATGGGATGACATTTGGGCACGTGCCAAATCTCTCTTCTGTTCTTTCTCTGTTTGTTCCCGTCCTCTCCGTGTTTGGACTGGGCAGGAGCTTCCTTCTGGTGCTTGTCTGAGCTTGTTGCTCTGGGATTGTTCTGTCCCTCAGCTCGGCTGCCCTTGGCCTTGCAGAGGTGCCCACATTCCTGTCCCCTGCACTTCACTTGCCCCATTTTGTTTGTCCTGCCTGTGAATCCCTGGAACATGGGATAGATCAGCTCTTATAGAAGATAGCCATCACTATTCCCAGAGGAATTTGCAGACCTTTAAAACTACTTGGTCACACCCAGAGGAATGTTCAAACCTTCAGAATTTGGTCCCTGCTGCCTCCATAGATGCACAGAACAAATTTCCAGGATTGTTGCTCTTTTTCCAGCCTCCCTCTCCCTGCAGGCTCAGAAACCATCTGCTACAGGAATTAAACACCAACTATTGGAACTTCCCTTCCTCTCTCCAGCCTTGCCAACGCCTCTCCCAATCATCTCTGTGCTCCCCTTGTGCCCTCCAGCCCCATATTTCATGGGATTGATTTTTGCCAATTTCCAAAGGAAATGATAGAGAATGGATTTCCATTAGAAAAGGATCCAAAGCCTCAAAGCTTCTGAGATGCCACAAGTTCCATGAGTGTGAAAAAGGGTGGGTAGAGGAGAGGGATCCCATTAACACCTTCAGAAAGGAAATATTCTTGACCTTGCTGGCCACTGGAGAATCCCTGTGGGACAGCCATTGAGAATGCTCCAGCTGTAGGTAAACCTTTGATAGAGCACTTGTAGCTCATGAGACCCCAGGGAATTGAGTACCCAGGCAGCATCCTGCCTATTGATCAGTCCTGCTGCTCAGGAAATGCTCATTAGGTGATGGCTCAACCTTGCAGCATTTCCTCTGCTCCACATCCACCGTGTGCCTGAGCCACAGTGCTGGGGGGATGACACCAAATATCCCTGCCCAGAGGGGCTGGTGTGTGTCCTCATGGTCCTGCCTCATCCTGGGCTCTGGAGAATCCCCCCTGAGGGGATAAACCTTGAGCCAAGTGACTTTGCTCTGTGTTAGCTGCCTGGAAAATGCTCCTGGAAAACTACTCCTGTAGCTGGCTCTGGGCCACGGCCCCGCAGGGAGAGGAGGGTGCTGCTTCTCCCCGGGGTTATGTAAAGGAGTTTGATTAGATTTCTTCTGGCATAACAATTAAAAAGATTCATCAGCATCGGAGGTAGAGGCCTGAGAAGCTGCAAGGTTGCTGTCAGGGCTTGTGTGAGAGAACAAATGAGCTTCCTGCACTTGGGAATTAATGGAAAAGATACGTTTCCCTTGAATTTAAACGTGCCCCGGTCAAACTGGAGGCAAGGGACAGATGGTTCTTGCTCCTGCATTCTTCATCCCAGTGTGGTGTTTGCAGCAGGCTCGAGCAGTAAAGCTGAGGAGAGGGGCAGGGACAGAGTGATTCCCAGGCTGTGGGGTGAGGGAGAAGCCTCTTCCCTGTGCTGAAGGGTGCTCTGGTGCACACACCCCGCTGCTTTGGCAGCTCCTCCATTTCCGAGGGGTCCTTGTCCTTTGGGAAGTGCACAGCTGCCTTGGGATTTGAGCTGCTTGGAAAGAAACATCTGCTGGGTTTGTTTGTTCTCCCAGCTCAGCTGTGTGAGGAGTGGGATGGAGGGGCTGGGAGCAGCCCTGCTCCCTGCACCTGGCAGCTGGGCCTGCTGAGCCCCTCTCGGGGGGCTGTGCTGCTCCCCCAGCCCAGACCCCTCACCTCAGTGATCCCACCTCAGTTTTCACTGGCACACACTGTGTTAGGCTGCCTGGATATTGCTGGGAATGATCACACAACTGTTCTGGTGCTGGATTTGGGATGGGGGGTGAATGAACCCGTTTGGTGCTAACCAAACCCCTCCTCTGCTGGCCCCTTCTCTTTGGGGGCTCCTGGAGGGGGCACAGGGAAGCCCAGCCCCCAGCATGGCCTTGGTGTCAGACAGACACACTGCTTCTCACCTCATCCCTCTCCATCTCCCCTCACAGTGCTCTTCTTGAGAAACCAGCACCCTTCCAGTACCCTCTGGGCTGGCCACCAGTGCAGGAGCTGCCCCCATCCCTGCAGGCCCCCCCACCCGGGGGGTGGCCAGTGCCCCCCAACCTGCAGTGGGGCTGAGGCACCCCAGAGCCTGCCTGGGGCTGCCTCGGGGAAAGGGACAGGATTATTTATACACTCTTTAAATTCAATAAACCCTTCTCCTGCCCGTTGCAGCCTCCGTGTGTTGTGTTCGTGTTCCTGCTGGCCCGGCAGCCTCCCCTGGGCTGAGCCACTCCCCTGGCTCTGGAACGGGGATCTGTGCTCAGCACAGCTCCAGCCCTGCACAGGGGCTGTCTGTGGTCACCTGGAGCTGGCATTCCCCAGTTCCTGNGGGGACAGGGGTGTCCCCACCATCCCATGGAGGTGTCCCTACCTTCCAGAAGACGGTGTCGAAGTCGGTGCCGTGGAACTTCTCTGGGATGCCCGAGGTGGAGAGCTTGGGCCCCAGCAATGTCACAAACTCCTCAAAGTCCACCTGCCCGTCACCTGTGGGACACAGGGCTGGCTGTCACCCCCTGCCTGGCCATGGGGCACATGGGACATTCCCCCTCCCAGAACGGGGCCCCGTGGGTGGTCACAGATCCCCAAAACCCGTTGGGGACCTCAAAATCAGCTGGGAACCTCGAGCAAATTTAGGGAACTTCCAACTTTGGTCAGGATGCCCAGCATTGAATGGGGTCCCCAGTGCCAGCCAGGACCCCAGGGCCCACTGGGGACACCCTAATACCACCTAGTCCCCCCAAAAATGTGATCTGGGACCCCAGTGCTGGCTGGGGAAACCAAACATCATCCAGGACATGAACATGAGCTGGACCCCAGTTCCAGCAGGGACCTCAATGCCATCTGGAGACCTCCCAGGTCTAACTGGGGACCACAAATGTTGGCTGGGGACCCCCAAAACAAACCAGGGACTCCAACACTGGGTGGGGATGTCCAGCAAAGTTTGGTGTCCCCACCACCAGCTGGGATGGCAACACTGGCTGGGCGCCCCAATGGGACTGTCACTGCCAGGTAGGGACCCCCAAGCAACATCTGAGGACCCCCAATGCCATTTGGGCCCCCTTGCAATGGGACCTGGGGACACTCAGTGTCACCTGGAGCCCCCAGTACTGGCTGGGGAAGCCAAACACTGTCCAGGACTCTGAACCACAATTGGACCCCAATTCCAGCAGGGACCTGGTGGTGGCTGTGCCCTGGGGGTGCCTGGTGGCCGTTCTGGCCGTGTCCCCTGGCAGGGGGGGACGCTGGCCTGGGGCTGTCAGGGCAGCACTAACGATGAGTAATGAGGGGAGCGGCGCCTTGGCAGCGCTGCCGGAAAGGCTTTTAAATGGGGGAGAAAAGGAAAAGCAATAAATTAAGGAGCTCCTTCAGGTCCCTGTGGGCGAGGGAGGGGTGGGGACAGGGTCATGGTGGCAGCGGGTGCTGGAGGGTGATGGGTGCTGAGGACACGAGCCAGGGTGCAGGACCCACCCCTGGGTGTGGGATCCAGCTGGTTTGGTGATCCCACAAAGATCCAGGATCCTTAAATCATCCCAAACAGAGCTGCAGTGGCGATGATGACGATGATGATGATGATGATGATGATGATGATGGATGAGGGGGAGGCTCCAGCGGGAGGCAGAGCCTGGGTCAGTCCCATCCCACATCCCGTGTCGTATCCAGCACGTGGGGTGGAAATACGGGAGAATTTTGTGTTTCACCCATCTGGGGGTCCCCACCCCGGGTTTGGGGGTCCTACCGTCCATGTCGAGGCGCTGGATGATGACCTCCAGCTCCACCTCGTTGGGCATGTACCCCAGGGAGCGCATGGCCGTGCCCAGCTCCTGCTTGGAGATGAAGCCGTTGCCATCGCGGTCGAACACCTTGAAGGCTTCGCGGATCTCTGTGGGGGGAGCAGCGATGGGTCGGGCTGAGCTTCCCCCTCCAGCCCCACAGAACCCCTGTGGGGATCCCACCCACCCCCGGGCAGCGTGGAGCCCCCAGCAGGGTCCCACCTGCCCCACAGACCCCAAATTTTCCCCCCAATTCCAGTCACCCCGAGCACCCACCCTGCCCTAAAACCGCAGCATTCTGCCCTAAACCCGCAGAGCTCTGACCTAAAACCACAGAGTTCTACCCTAAAACCACGAAGTTCTGCCCTAAAACCGCAGAATTCGACCCCAAACCCGCATCCCTGGGTGTGCCTGAGCCTGGGGTGCCACCAGGTGGGCACTGCCACAGGGGCAGCAGCATCCAGCCGGGAGCATCCCTGAGGATCCATGGGGACTGTCCCCATCCCGGGATCACGGGGTGGGATTGTGCCCCATCCCATGGTTTTAGGGTGGGTCTGTGCCCCCATCCTGGGGTGCAGGGGTGGGTGCTGGAGCTGGACACACTTCACCCAAAAAATCCCAATTGCTGCAGTGCTCAGCCCTGTCTGGTGCAGAGGAGATGGAAGTGGGGGATTTGGGGTTTCTGGCTCAAAACAGAAAAAACAAACCCCTGGGATGTGGGGGAAGATCCCTGCAGGGTGGCAGGGAGATGCTGCAGGGAAACTGAGGCATGGCCTGAGTCCCTTGACTCCACCCCACCTCCTGCACTCAGGACTCTGCTCCTTTTTGGGGCAGTTTCTGGCTTTTTGATGCCGCCTGATGTGCGAGGCTGGAACCAGGCTGATGGAAAAGGACCAGGGAATTTGTGCTGGGGACAGTGGGAAGCCAGGCCAGGACGTTGGTGCCTCTTCCTTCTCCATGTGGGTGCCAGAGGGACTCGTGCTGGAGGATCCAAGCAGGAGAAATGGGCTGTGAACTTTGGGTTTGGGGGAAAAAACCCATATTGGGTGACAGTAGTGACCCAAGTGCTTGGGAACATCCCTGCCTGGATGGTGCCACATCAGTGACGTCTTCAGGGTGTTTTGGGGGAGTTTTGTGGGATTTTGGCCTGTCTGAGCTTCTCCATGGCCAGTGTCCCTGCCTGGGCAGGGAGATCCTCCCTGTGCTCCTGGGGGCCTCACTGCACCCCAGGCACCCCCAAAATTGACCCTTCAAGGATGCTCATCCCAAAAACTCCACGGTGGCTCCTCATCAGATGGCTCAGGGTGTTTGGGGACAGGCAAGGACAGGTCCTGGCAGTGGCCAGGGTGGGGTCCTGGCTCCCCACTGCCCCAGTGTGAAGCCGTGTCAGGATGTCACCGGTGTCCCCAAGCCACGGGGACAGGAGGAGGTGGCACCTTGTGGGGTCCCCCTGGGGCTCCCAGCAGTGCCATCGGTCCCCACTGCCACAGGTGGGTGCTGAGGAGGGGGGGACACCACACTGGGGATGGGTGAGCTGGGACAGCAGCCCAGGGACACGGGGTGTGACACATGGACACCACGGAGGGTGTGAGCACACACAGACAGACACACAGACACATGGACGGACAGACACACGGGCAGACACACAGATAGACATGCACACACAGACACATAGCCACACACATAGACACGCTGTCAGACAGACACACTGACAGACACGCACACAGACGCACAGATGGACACACACGCGGACACACAGACAGAGAGACGCATGGACACACACACAGACACACACACACAGACACACAGACAGACACACGGACACACAGATACAAACACAGACACACAGACAGACACACGGACACAGACAGACAGACACAGACACAGAGCTGCAGGACTCACACACACACCCCGCTGCAGTGAGGCTAGGACACCCTGGCAGTGACACTGGAGCTGTGCACACACATACAGACACACAGACACACAGACAGACACACGGACACACAGATACAAACAGACACACAGACAGACACACGGACACACAGATACAAACAGACACACAGACACACACACAAATACACAAACACACAAGTGAACACACACACACAAACACAAACACATACACACACACAAAATGCACAAACACAAACCCCCACACACAAATACACACAAACACACACACAAATACGCACACACACATACAAACATACACACACGAACACACACACACAAATGCACACAAACACACAAATACACAAACACCCACAAACACACATACACAAATACATACACACACACCTCTTGCACTGACACTGTGCGTGCACACACAGGGACACAGCCAGAACCACGTCCCACTGACGCTGTACCTGTGTGCACAGACACACTGCAGTGACACTTGTGAGTGTGCAAACACAGCCCAGCACCTTGGGGCGATGTGCTTGGGCACACGCACACACATACACACACACGTGCACTCACAGCCCCCATGCAGGGACGTGCATGTGCATGGATGCAGCACACCCCAACACCTGGCAGTGATGCTGTACCTGTGCATGCACACCCCAGCACCTCGCACAGATGCACCTGTGCATGTGCACAAGCACACAAACACCTTGCACTGAAGTACTGGTGCATGTACACACGCACTTTCCTTACAGTGGTGCTGCACTTGTGCACACACACACACGGACGTGCACAACCACAATGCAGTGGTGCTGCACATGTGTGCACACACCAACACCCAGCACAGCTGTGTTTGTACATGTACACACACACAGACACGCACACACAGAGACACACACACAGAGACACACACACAGCCCCTGCAGTGACATCCCTGCACACCCACACCCCCTTGCAGTGGTGCTGCACTTGCGTGTGCACACGCATGGACCTGCACAACCATGGCACAGCAATGCTGCACTTGTGCACACAGACACACCAACGCACCAACACCATGCACAGCTGCACTCATGTGCACACAGACACACCAACACCATGCACAGCTGCACTCATGTGCACACAG